TCAAAGTAAAAAATTAAAAATAATACCTGGCAAAGAATATTCTTCACAGATTCCGGGGTTGCAACAGTTCTAAAGAAGTATTTTCCTAGAGCAGTATTTCTGCAACAGTGGAGACCTTCGATGACAACTTCAATCTAAATTCAATAAATGATCTATGAGATGTCTTTTACCTCAGCAAACTCTGGAATGATCTGATCAATGGCCTCCCATACCAAGGCTGCTTCTTAATATGAAGCATACGTAGAGAAATATTTAGAAGAACAATACCTTTACAGATCTGCGGTTTCATAACTGCTGCCTGAAGACCAACTACTCCTGCAAAAGTATACGTCCAATAACTTTAAGAAAGATGGTAAGAAAGAAAAGGATAACAGATGAAGAGAAAAATATTTACACACTTATTGCCCAATGTTTTGACACTAGTTATGTGATGATATAAATTTTTTGAAAGAGATTGTCCTGTGTGAACACAAGATTGGTCTTATCATGCATCGGAAAATGAAGGAAAATTAAGATAGACGTGAAGCAGATGGAGAGCTTTTAGTATATAAGAGTCTATCCACTCAAACTGTCATTCTCATGGACAAGGATATATTTTAGTCCTACAGACGGCCGATGATGGAGGAAATACTGATCAATGAATAACATGTACATGAAAATGCATAGAAAATGTATGAAGTCCAAACTTGATTTTATCAAATATATGTTAAGGACCATAACAAGATAGGGAGGTTTTTAAATGAAGAACCTTTGTACAGAAAAATGTATTAAAGTCCAAACCAGATTTTATCACTTAAGTTCATTCACCAGGTTCTTAAAGAAATGAAACCAATGAACCAATGCTGGACCCTAATAAAAAATGACACTTCCAACAGGGCGGGGGGTAATGACCATGGCTCCTTTAAATAGTTTGTAGTTAGCTATGTGTCAGGATAAGATTTGTTTGGATGTCATAGCTAAATAAAAAGGAATAATTTGTCTTCAAAAATGAGATGGTCACCTCCTATAGAATTACAGATAAAAAATGCTTCATCCTGAACCACGTCAACACAAAAGTCATTCAGCTGGGCAGCCCATGTCTCAAATGTATAAAAGCTTTCTCCTACTACATCTGGATTTGGTTTGTCTGAGTATCCATAACCAATAAGATCAAGAGCGTAAACTCTATGTGATTCAGCAAGGGCAGAAATGTTTTTCCTCCAATGGTCGCTGAAAAGGAGGACAAATCATCAAGCATTGAACTTCGCATATGGAACGAGATTCAAGGACAATTACTTCTTCGCTACTAAAGATTGAAACCAGTTGTTAAGTCCCACGTTTTTTTTTTTTGAGAGACATTATCAAAATATTAAAGAAAATAATTAGATAGATAGTACCAACAGTTTGGTAATTAAAACAAACAAATATATGCTTTTAAATTTTTTATAATAGTCACACAGTTCCCTGAAGGATTGGTCCAGAAGTAAGTGGGGTGAGCACTTGTACCTAATTCTTTTTCTTGTACAATGGGGCAAGTATTGTTGCTGATTTCTTGTTAGGAAACTATCCAATTGACAAGAGGTCAACGATTACATAAGTTGTTCAAACAGCTAATCCACCCCACGTCAACACTATCCGACCATCGCAAACAGGAAAATAAAAGTAGGCCAAGCAAAGGGAGAATTAGTGTACTTCAACCATGATCTCAGCCGCTTATTCTAGAGTAATAATGATTAGTCTATCGTTGCTACGATGCCTAGTTTGTCAATGACAGTGATGGTGTCAAGGGACACACGTCATTCGCTCATTAGCAGAAGAAAAGTAATGTCCAAAGGCATGTGACTCCTCGGCCTAGAGTGAATCCATCCAAGCATCTAGTTGAGTCGTTAAGTTGGGCTAGTGAGGTTTTCAAATAACATGTTGCACGTCAAGAGCTATTTCTAGCTTGGAAGTTTCTTTCCAATGCAATTGGTTTAATTTATTTCAGATATAACTACTATACCAGCTATGCTACCCTTTCTCGATGGGAAAATGTAGCTATTGGACTAGGGTCGTCATTTTAGGGAATCCTTACAACTTTTACAGGAGAGCTATGACTTGCAATGCAACATAGTTGGATGGAACACCGATTTCAGTAAGTTAAATGCCATTTTTAATAAAGTAACGGGGACCAGCATACCATGCCCATGCTCAACTAGGTAGGTGAGGGAGCTCATCCCAAGGTGTGGTACTACTCTTATACTTGGATGGGATGGTCAATAACTATCCTCAAAATAGTGGCTCAGCTAGGTGCTCAAACAAATTTATCATAGGTTAAGGTGGAAGCCCTGCCTCCAAAAATTACTTACCTTCAGCCAAATGAAATCAATAGACAACACGAGTCTCTAGGCACCACGTCAAAAATTTTCTTAACAAGCTAAATACTACAGCAATGTTAGAGTAATTATTACTCCCCTTCTGTGAATAAGAGGCTTGAGATTTTGTTGAGGTGTGCTAACTCTTTCTTGTTCGGTTTTGCTTTAGGCTAGCTTTGGTCTAATTAAGACAATGAAAGGGATTTGGCAAGCACCAGTTACGCTCAGTTTGTATCTTGTGCATGTCTTCTCTGTTCTTCTCAATTCTCGTTTAGTTTTTCTATTTGCAAAGGTCGGGCAGACGGACGGAGCAAGTCAGCAGCTTCCCAACAACAACCAATAACAGCGACAGACCATTTGAACTCATATACGTAAACGGCCTCGTACAATTCTCGTCTACAGTTGTATAATCTTACACACTGAAGCAAGCGCGCCTATGTTTCATATCCAGAACAATAAAGCAAGCGCGAATTGGAAAGAATGACTCAAGACATAACGACGTTTTCTAGTATCGGTAATTTCAATTACGCCGGTAATACCTATATTTAGTGGTATCAGAAGCAAAATTTGAATGTAGACCTGTTTGCTCCAAAACCATGAATCAGTACTAATGCAGGGCCATCATCTCCAGAACATTGGTAGCGAATTGAGTAACCCTTCCACTTCCAAATGCTGCGAGACAGGAAAAGTGTGTCATGCGATGCGACTCAACTAAGATGAGATATTCAAATGAAATAAAATCCCGAAAAAATGTTTACCGGCTTTTAACTTGGAGTTGGGAGTGGATATTGTCGGATGAGGTTTCCAGGCCATGGTCTTCAAAATGAACGCGCAATTGAGAAGATAAGACAGTCCCCTTCGACTTAAGCCGAGCAAATGGAAATGTAGGAGCCCTGAGCGGAAACCGGAGTTGTTGGAGAAAGGGATGGATGCTGATACTTGGTTTGGCGGAGGAGAACGGTAGAGGCAGTTTGGAGAATGGCAGAGTAGAAGAGCAAGCGGTGGCCATGAATATGAATATGATTCTCCAGAGGGAACAGCAGATACAATGGAGGAGCAACGGCGGGTATCGGGGACATGAACCGAAGAAGGAAACCTTTGAGTTGAGTCTGTGACTTGTGAAGACGCCGTGTTGCTACATTCTGGACCACCCAACTCTCATCCCCACGTTCTGGCTCCCGCCTTTTCTTCCATTTTTTTCTTCTCTTTTTCTTCCTCATTTGCCCTGCCTTGCTTTTTCAACGTGGGATTAATGGTAGTGATCATATAAATATTTACAATTATTTTCCTTCTATAATTGGGACTTAGATGCTTCAACTTGACCTTCACCTGGTGTGTTGGGAGTGAGCATACCATGAGTGATTCGAAAACAAAATTTGTGTAATTAATTTTTCCAACTCACCGTCTGAATGATTTCACCGTTAATGTAAATATAAGTGACTTTGGCAATGTCAAAATCACCGGTTCTTACCAACACAATCATTCAAATGTAGCTCATATTTACAAATTTATTATTTCAGTTTTTGTTTTTTTATAATACAATAAAGGACGGAGATGAAAATTCAAACTTGTGATTTCTTGGTTAGACATTGGTGCTCGAGCTAAGTTTAGGTTGGTCAAATTTATCATTTCACAATAGTGTTTCTCTCTCTGTATATAGATATATATTTATTAATAAAATTTGTTTTTTAGTACAAAATATGAGATGAGTAATTGAATTCACGATCTTTTGGTTGAAAATATATATCAATTAGTGCTGAGCTATTATTTTGACAATGTATCATGTATCAATATAAAATATATTAAAAAAATATATCATTTTGTATCGTTGTAAAGTTTATTATTGATTTTGATTTTGATTGATATACAAGTTGGAAGAGTTTGAGCGATGAGTTTACTTTCATTTATCTTATCTTTTATTATGTCTACGAGTCACTGATTTTATACTTCATATGTGCTAGTATGGAGGAGCTGGGATACTAATAACCAAAATCATGGAGATTCATTTTATTATGTCGAGTTTGGGTTTATTTTTATTTATATTCGTGTTATTTTAAACGTTTCAATTTGTTATTTATTATTTCCTTAAATTTAAAAAATCATTCCCAGATTCTCTAAAAATATATACTCCGTTTATTTTTATTTTATTTTCTTTCCATTTATATTGTCTCTTGCTAATTCAACTCACCAACACTACCAATGAAAATTACACACAACCACATAAATAGAAAACATGTAATATATTAAATATGATAGCAATACCGATAATTTGCAAGGAATGACTATTGTTATCAGATAAAAACAATTGCGACGCGTCGGGAGGCTAACCAAGCCACATGGGTCAGTCAGGAAACTAACCCAACACGATCGAGCACCGAAACAAATCCAAACGTATGAACAACAGGGTTAAGCACTCTTAAAAAACAACCAGCAAGTAGAGTGTTAACACCTTATATCCAAGCTGTTGCACACCATCAAGGACCACGTAAGACGTTGTCAAGTCCTGCACCTGCACAATAGTGATACACAGAGAATGTCGGTGGTCCCCGTGGACCCTCGGTACGGCATACCTCTTCTTTATGGATGCTAAAGAGAGTGAAGACCTCCCCCACGCTCGCGCCACCTCATATGAAAAGAAAAGGACAACCCTAACAAAAGTATGCCGCATTTTCCCTACAAAATCACCTGTGAGAATTCAACACGCACACTTGTCTGTCCCTACTTGAATTGTAACTTACGCATCATAGTGTATTTGGCCTCAACACTAGTGCAAGATTTATATGTGTATCAAAGACAAAGGCGCATGTGGCATCTACGCATATCCTACTCATAAATGGACATCAACAATTGCAACCATAAAACTAGATTGCAACTTTTAAAATCGTAAATTGAAATTAGTCAATATGAGAATATTAAACATAAGACTACTTATCTTCGGGTTCGATATTTAAATCTCCATATCCGGTTGTTGGTTTTGTTTTTCTTTGAGAAAGTCTCATACTCCATAAACCGAAGTAAATTGAGGTTAATTGAAATTAAGCTTAAACCGTACCAACAAAATATGAATTTTTAAAAATTGTCGAGGCTAAATTAAAACTTGAAGAGGTGTAATTATCCATTTATAATTCTAAACCATTAACCATATTAACCAAATTTGTAATTTAAGATTGAAACACTTAAAAAAATACCTTTTTTCATAATCGTTATAAATTATAATAGGAAGGAAAGCGAGTGGGAGTTAAGTTGGGTGCTCTAATTCGTAATTCCAGTGGAGCGATCCAGCAACCTTTCACTTTCTCCCTTTTTCTCTCCCTCCAATCTTCATCGTTATTTTTATTTTCATCGTCCCGCCTTTTTCCCTTTTTAATTTTTCCTTTTTCTAAACCATCCCGCCCAGTGCCCATTAAAAAATAAGAATAATAAAATATAATATAATTTATCTCATCTGGAAACAAATACTTCAATTTGCAAGTTTTGTTAATTTCGAGTTTCTCCACCTAAAATAATTTTTCCATGCCACCAATTCACGTTCTTCAAATTTGATGTATATTTTTGTCTTGTAAAACAGTACATTTTCCCTTAATTGATTTAAATTGGGATGACCTATTGTGTGATTGTTTTATTATGAAAAAAATACACATTATTTGCACTTACATTAAATTATATTCATATTACATGAATGCGATAATTTTGAATCAATAAGATTCACATGCAGATATTTAATTATGAAGATTAGTTGGATAGTTGAATCGATCATTTTTCAATGGATAAAACCATAATCTTTTTGTTAAAAAATATTTCATTATCTTAATGAATAAGCACCTATAAACGAGAGTTTTTTTTCATATAAAAATGTATCATTATGTAAGGTCGTACGTTTAAATTTCCATTTCACTCATGGTTAATGAACTAAAAATATAGATAGAGCAACTTAATGGTAATTGGCACATATCTCAGACAAAGAGGTTGTGAGTTCGATCTCCACCACCATATGTTATACTAAAAAACAACAACACTAATACAGATAGAACTACATAAAACAATCACTGCTACCACATCGTCGATATGGAATTTAGAATTATCTTCTTTCTACACAAGGAAGTAAGCAAAGTAGATAACCTATTATATTACCAATATGATAGCTTAATTGATTAAGACATATATCATCAATCAAAACGAGGGGCTTTAAACTTACACCACTGGTGAACTAAGAAAAATATAACTCATTATATCAATGATTATTTATTACAATAATAAAATATATTTACATATGATAAAGTCAATAATGAAACACACATTTATATTGTTTACAAATCACAAATAAATATTGTTTGGAAAAAATAAAATTCCATATGTTTTAAAATTTTATTTTTGAGAATTGGAATCGAGAATATCTTGATCGGACATATATGTTTTAACCAACTGACTAACGACAATAATATAAAATTATACATTTCACAAAATATTATATTTAAATTTAACAAAACGTGAGTTACCATATGTAGTTATGAGTATAGCTTATAGGTCTAAGCACGGATTTAGTTGGCCCATATTTGCTGTACTCGAACAAAAAAGGAAGAACAAAACAATATTTGTTGATTTTGATTCACACCCAATAACATTACATTTTCGAAAAATGTAAAGTAAAGAAAAATCAGAGAAGTAGAAGTGGAGTGAGTTAGCGTGAGGTGGTTTGGTTTTTGCATTAAAGAAATGATTTAATTCCAAAAACAGATGCAGCAGTAATGATTGTTAACAAAAAAAAAAAAAACAATAATAAATAAAAAGTAGAGGCAAGCTGTGTTTAGCTAGCTTTGCCCTAATCAAATGCAATAAAATCATCCACTTTCAGCCTCTGCCTCTGCGCTGCACGGCTTACTGATCATACTGGGTGTGACTGCGTGCCGCGAGGCGACTGGCGAGGGCAGTGCCCAGCGGCCACCACTTTCTCTTCTCCCTTTCATTTCTTTGAAATTCCCAACACCTTTCTATCCCTTCCGTCGTTCAAATACATATTCAATTCAACCGCTCCGCCCGCCGCCGCCGCCGAGCGCCATACTTCTCTGCTGGTTGCTGCTACTCCTCATTCTCAATGGATCCCCCGCCCACGCAGCTTCAGCAAGCCCAGCTTGCTGCTATTCTTGGCCCTGACCTTGCCCCTTTTGAAACCCTTCTTTCCCACCTCATGTCCTCCTCTAACGACCAAAGATCGCAGGCCGAACTTGTCTTCAATTTGTGCAAGCAGACCGATCCCGATTCCCTCTCTCTCAAGCTCGCTCACCTCCTTCAGTTCTCTCCCCAACCCGAGGCCCGTGCCATGTCTGCTGTTCTCCTCCGCAAGCAGCTCACTCGCGATGATTCCTATCTCTGGCCTCGTCTCAATCCCTCCTCTCAGTCATCCCTTAAATCCATACTCCTGTCCTGTATTCAACGCGAGGAATCCAAATCCATATCCAAGAAATTATGCGATACGGTCTCAGAGCTCGCTTCCGGAATACTGCCGGACAACGGCTGGCCAGAATTGTTGCCCTTCATGTTTCAGTGCGTGTCGTCGGATTCCCCCAAGCTGCAGGAATCTGCGTTCTTGATCTTTGCCCAGCTCTCGCATTATATTGGGGATACCTTGGTGCCTCACATTAAGCACTTGCACGGCGTGTTTTTGCAGTGCTTGACGTCAACGTCTTCGAGCACTGATGTGAAGATTGCTGCCCTGAATGCTGTTATCAGCTTCATACAATGCTTGTCAAACTCCGGTGATCGCGACAGGTTTCAGGATTTGTTGCCGCCGATGATGCGGACGCTAATGGAGGCGTTGAATAACGGGCAGGAGACAACAGCGCAGGAGGCACTTGAATTGTTGATCGAATTGGCTGGGACGGAGCCCAGGTTCTTGAGGCGGCAATTAGTGGATGTGGTGGGGTCGATGTTACAAATTGCAGAAGCTGAATCTTTGGACGAAGGAACGAGGCACTTGGCGATTGAATTTGTGATCACTCTTGCAGAAGCCAGGGAGCGGGCACCCGGAATGATGAGAAAGATGCCACAGTTTATATCCAGGTTGTTCGCCATATTGATGAAATTACTCTTGGATATTGAAGATGATCCGGCATGGCACGCTGCTGAGAACGAAGACGAGGATGCAGGCGAAACCAGTAATTACAGTGTCGGGCAGGAGTGTTTGGATAGGCTTGCAATTTCTCTGGGAGGCAATACGATTGTCCCTGTTGCTTCTGAGCTGTTTCCTG